ACGGCTCCTCTCGCTTCCAGCGTCCCGGCTTCCCTTCCGCCGGAAGTGGGGCGACTTTCCCTTTCCGGCTACGGGTCCCCAAGCGGAGCTGGAGGCCGGACGGGGGAGCTGAGCGGCGGCGGCGGCGGCGGGGGCGGTAATGGCGGAGCTGGTGCAGGGGCAGAGCGCTCCGGTGGGGATGAAAGCCGAGGGCTTCGTGGACGCCCTGCACCGGGTCCGGCAGGTACGGGCGGGGCCGGCTGGCGGGAGCACGGGAGCCCGAGGCGGGGCCGGGCCGGGCCCGATTGGGAGGAGGGGGTCGGGCCTGGGGGCGGGAGGCAGCCTGGGCGGACGCCTCAGCCGGGCTCGGCCTTTTCTTGGGGCGCCGGCAGCCGGGGAAGCGGAGGGAGGAAGCGCCACCGCGACGCCCGGGCCCAGCCTGTCGGGCGGCTCTCCTAGGTGCAGCCGCTGGGAAACGGTTTGCCGGGGTCGCTTGGCCCCATCGCGCCCCCGCGCCCGGGCTGGGCCTGCAGGGCATCCAGCGTGGGCTTCTGGGGTTCGCGAGGGGAAGGGGGCTGGGGAGCTCCCGGTGAGGACCCCGGTATAGACACAGAGCGGCCGTCTCGGGCCCTGTAGCTTCTTAAAACTTGGAAAACATCGTCTTCGGACTTCCTGTATTCCAAGACTGGAGTGGAAGGAATTCGAGGGTACTTTACTTTTGAAGTTGCTCTTGGAGAGGGGAGAGAGGAGGATGTTAAATAGGTGTGGGTGGTCCCCAGGACGTAGAAGTAATCCCTTACGGGCAGTAGTTTTCCTTTCTCTCGGGGAGAATGTGAGATGGACGCATCCCAGCAGTGAAACTTTACCATCTGACAACGTCGTGCATTTTGCCAGAGTTAACTAAGCTGGGTTTTAAGAGATTGCGGGCTTCCCTGGAGAACGAATATGGGACCTGCCAGGAATACTCTGGCTTCTGGCAGGGTGCTTAGAGCAAAACGTGTCCTTGTATCGTGTGTAAATCTTACAGGTTAGCTCTAACACCTAAACCGTTTCTGCTGAGTGTGTTACAGGCATCGTCTCTTCCTGTTTAATTGTAGGCATAACTAACTGACAGTGTAAAAGTTGGGCTGTAACTAATTACTGCTTGATTCCTAACAGAAAGCCACAGGACTCATTGTATTAGAAGAAGGTCTCCACTTGGTCGCTTGAAGATATGGTCTTTACATCTCTTTCCGGTATTCCAGGGGAGGGAACCCTACCTGTGTCCCCGATACTGACTTTTCATTTTAATACCGATGCTCCTATAGACATGATATTGGATCCCAGCACTTTCCAAACCTGTGGTTCCACCTAAAATTGTGTCTGATGGCTTGTTACTTACTGCCTAGGCATCAACCAGTACAATAGTGAGTATCCACCTTACTTAGACTTCAGAGCCAACCGGTGGCTGTAATGGATGCCATCCAGCTCCCCTTCCACCACTCTGCTTGCCGGCGTGTTGCACTGCTCTCCTCTACAGTACAGGGTCCTGAACTTTGTTTCTCACTGGCTACTAATATGTAATGGCTTTCGCTTTGTGGCTGATATGTGACACTCGACCTGGTGGCCCTCTGTATCCAGGAAGAATTATAGGCACTACCCTAAAGAGCTCAGATCCTCAGTTTACAGAAGGCCTGTAGTTGAACATAAAATGAATTTTGAACCATTGAGAAGACTTTCTGCTTCTCTTGAGCCAGTGGTTGAACTCGTATTCTTGGACAACCTGCTCAAGAGGGAGGGAGACCCTCTGTTAAATGCTGACCTAATGTGGATTGTTGAAGCAGTGGTGTTTCCTACTAGCAAAGAGAACTTCATTGGAAATGTTCCCAGCTCTGAAATGCGCCATTGACTGGAGCAGTAATAAGCCCAATGGAGACAGTGCTGTAAGTGTATTACTTCTGAGTATTAACAGCTGGAGGTCGATACTATCTCCAAGGATTTGATGGCCTTTAAAAATCTAAAGAAAAAAACAGGTTTGTGGGTAATTTTAGGTTTATTTCCAGATTCGCATTGAGCAAGAATGGAATGTGAGAAATTGAAACTGTTGTGTGCTTTATTTATTTTTTATTATTTTTTAAAAATGTTTTTATTTATTTTTGAGAGAGAGAGAGAGACTGAGCGTGAGCAGGGGAGGGGCACAGAGAGAGGGAGACACAGTATCGGAAGCCGGCTCCAGGCTCTGAGCTGTCAGCACAGAGCCCGTTGTGGGGCTTGAACTCGCGAACCACGAGATCGTGACCTGAGCCGAAGTCGGCCGCTCCACCGACTGAGCCACCCAGGCGTCCTGTTGTGTGCTTTATAGAAGAGCTTACCTCAAAGGGTCTCCTGTTATTTGGGTATCCGGTTGATGATGGTTCTACTTCATTGTACACACAGCATGTTGCAGAGATGTGCTTTTTTTCTCTCCAGTAACTGGAAATAAAAGACAGTGTACTTATTTATTTAAATGATTGCACAGCTTCCCTCCACCCCCTCGCCCCCTGACATGCCCTCATAAACACCAGCAACGGTCTATAAAGCCCTCGCTAGTTTGTCAGGGAGGAGTAAGCTGTCTTGTGCTCACTTTATCTAGAAAACCACAATAAAGTCCCAATTGACCCTGCTGGGATTTGAACCTCCTGTTTCTATTAAGTCTGGTTTGTGGAGTCCAGTACCTAAACCCACTAAGCTTCCTGCCTGGCATCTTGAAGCCTCCTGCGTATCCTTTGGACTCTTTCCAACAGAGGGAACCAACCCCTTGTTACTGTTAGTTCACTGTGAACACGGTATTCCTCGATCAAAAGGGAGTCTCTGAAGTTGTGTAAAATTTAAAATTTTCCCCAGCAGTGAGTTAATAGCGTACGACCGTTCTGAAGGGAAGTATCCAAGTGTCCAAGCGCGGTCTGACTCGGTCCCGTTGATGAAGATCTAAGACCTGCTGGGTATTGAAAAAGCACGTTCAGCTTTCCTAACTCCTTGGCGGGTCAGCAAAAATAAAGTATTTGCTAAACTCGTTTAGAGAGAGTAGGGTCCTCGTAAGGGTGGGAGGTGGACCCAGAGCCAGACCAGGCTCGGCCATCCTGCCCTGCAGCCACACTGCGTTTTCACCCTGACTGTCTGGGCTCCCAGACGTCTTTGTGGAGATGATGGATAACTAGATACGAATCCCTTCTGTTTGGTTGGTTTTTTCTAAAAGCGAAAATACTTCCCCAAAGCCCCCTGCTACTGGGGACCCAGTAGCCTCCGCCATCTAGCGCACACGTTTGCTTGTTCACAGGACAGTGTGACCGCCACAGTGTGTTGCAGGTTCCCAGCCGCCTTCCCCAGGTTGGGCCAGCTGTCGGTCAGTCATCACCCGAGTAGAAGTTCTCTTGCCTAATGGCTAGTGCTTTCCAGGACTTTAAGCTCCTGTGTCGACCTAGACGCTAGTCAGTGCTGTGTGTTGCATAACTCCGCGGCTATTCCGTTCGCATGAATACAGTGTGATCGGAGCCTGTCGGAGTTGAGCACCATGACGGTTCTGCGCCCTAACGATCGGGACTGAGCCGATGCAGAACCAGTAAGAAAGCAGCCTTTTGGACAGTTCCGTAGGCCTGGCGCCTGTTCTTTACAGTACTTTTTGGGGGGGAAGGTTCCTTGGGTTGGGGCCTCAGAATTTCCTTGGTCCTCCGGAAGATGCCATGCCGTGCTGCTGTCTCACACTTTGAGCCTCAGCAGAAGATCTGGCGCTGCGTTGCCTTTACGAGAATGTGCATCCGCCATTAAAAGACAGAGCCTTTGCTCATTGGCCCCTGGTCACTCCCAGAGAGAGACTGCCTTTGCTTCCTTAATGTGTGATGTTTCTGACTCACAAGTGTGTGGCGTCTCCATCGATTTAAGCCGGACTCCGCCGAGACTGTCTCACACACGCCCAGTTTGCGTAGCTCAGGTCCCTCAGTCACCAGGGACTGACTACTGAATGTGCATTCATTTTTGCTCCCTCAAACCCTGTTGCTGTATCTTTGGTGGCACCCAGTAGAGTACCCTGTAAAGAGTGAGACCTTGTTCAAGGGTTTTGGTGATGTGACCATCTATTTGGGTCACCGCTTTCACGGAAGCCCTGAACTTCCTGTTTGCTATTGAAAGGTAAATAGTAAATGCACACTGCGTTCCACTGTATGTTTCTAAGGTTTTTCTCGTTTTCAGCGGAGCCTTCTTTACCTTTCTCTTAAAATCTGATAGCCCAAATGTATCATCAAATTTTGGTTTCTTCCAAAGTCCCATTTGTTCTGTAGATACAAATTTGCCTAGACCAGAGTTCCCAAGCTGGTGGCCCACGGGCTGGAGAAGGCTCACAGGGGGCCTGCAGGCACGCTTTGTTTCACCTACACAATGCCAACGCTTAGAAACTAGAATGACGTCCAGTAAAACTTGAGATTTCTAGCTTTTCTGGAAAAAATCAGGCCACACCGCTCCCACATTCTGGAATGGCAGTACTCAGCAGGAGCCGAGTAGCAGCTGCCCTTTCACACGGGGCATCGGCTCTCTGGGTTGCCATTGGGATGCCTAGTCAACAAGTTGTTTTCTCCTCATCCCTTTCCAAATTGTGAGTCCATCTCTGGTTTTTATTTGAAATTTCTTTTTTTCTTTTAAAGGAAAGACTTTTTTTAAAAAAAATGTCTTTGTTATTTGTTTTTGAGAGAGAGACAGAGCATGAGCAGGGGAGGTGCAGAGAGAGAGGGAGACACAGAATCCGAAGCAGGCTCCAGGCTCCGAGCTGTCAGCACAGAGCCCGACGCAGGGCTCGAACCCACAAACCGTGAGATCATGACCTGAGCTGAAGTCGGACCTAACTGAGCTTAACCGACTGAGCCACCCAGGCACACCTTTATTTGAAATTTTTGTTTGTTTATTTATTTTTGAGAGAGACAGAAACAGAATGAGGGTGGGTTGGGCAGAGAGAGGGAGGCACAGAGTCCGAAGCAGGCTCCAGGCTCGAGCTGTCAGCACAGAGCCCGACATGGGGCTTGAAGTCACAAGCCGCGAGATCATGACCTGAGCCAAAGTCGGACACCTAACTGACTGAGCCACCCAGGCGCCCCCTTTATTTGAAATTTCTAATGGAAAGAATTGTGTATGGAGATTTAGGAGACCTGGGTCTCCCGCAAGTAGCTATATGACCTCATGCTGGGTCAGCCATTCCCAACATGTGATCTACAGGCTGTTCATAGATCTTCCATGGGAAAG